AGGGGTCAATGGGGGGGTGCTTCTCAGTGGGAGCCAACAGGAAGGAGAGACCCTTGCTGTGAGGAGCCCCTCAGGTCCCCTGGGTGCCTTCTCACACGGACGCTCAGCACACGGAGGGCAACAGAGGTCGGCAACAGTTAAAAGGAAGAACATTTTTGCTGTTTTTTCCCCTTAATCTTTTTCTTCCATCCTAACTCCAAGGGAATTAAAACCAAAGAAAAAACGGGAAGGAAGAGAACTGAGTAACCTCACTGTAGCCAGGGGTCAGGCCTGAAATGCGGAGAGCAGAGGAGAGGTGAAGATTGGAGTTTTATAAACAGACTGCACTGAGGTTTATTTAATAACTGAAAGTGGCCCAGAGGTTTTGGGATTTTCTTTCCCAAACATCAGTATGGGGTTAGGGTCCAAGGTCCCTCCAAAATCCCCACCATACTTAAGCCTCTTTCATGCTTTTTCTTTGGTATCATTTTCTCACTTCTCCCTCTTGTTCCGCCTAGAAAACTTTTATTTAGTCTCAGGTGGGCAGACTTGTATTATAGATATCATTGGTTACATTTATAGTTTACACCAGATTCTTTCATTTGCCTACAGAGCTAAAACTTTTAAAATAATATGGTGGAAAACACTTCTTTATTTCCTTTTCCAGCTATACCTCCTTTTCTGAAAGTGATGAGCATAGAATCACTCAACTGAAGATTATGGTTTAAGAAAATGAAAAAAAGCAAAAACTCTGTTATTGCAAAAATTGTCTTGTCACAGATGGTGATCATTCTGAAAGCGTGACTGACCAAAATTGGTTAAGTTCTTTCTGTAATATCATGAGCACATCTAAGCTATTCTCCTCCAAACCTGTAAAGTAATTTTTAAAAGCAAGGTGGTAGACTTGCCCAGGACCTGAGTGAAAGCATTCATGTGTTTAGTCGCAAGAGAGGGCTGCTGTATCTGTCAATAAAATCCCTATTCAGTTGGGGAAAGAGTGTTTGGATAACATTCAATACTGAAGTTGTGCAGAAACAATGACAAATGATATACAGTACTTTATATTCTCTTTGTTATAAGCAGAATAGTCCATGCATAGCTTCCAACATTCAGTAATTCCTGGCCTTGTCACAATCCATTATGCAAAATTTTGCTTCCACCTAAAATAGGATGACACAGAAAGAGGAAGTAGCCATGTAGCTTTCAAGCTGAATCGATCTATTTTTGACATTGTTTAATAGTGGTAGAGAAAAGTAGAATTTTCTTTTTTCTTTTTCTTTTTTTTTGGTGGGGAGGGAATTATTTTTCTCAGTCTATTTCAATGTTCTTAAATTTGAGATGATAATGAGAAAAAGTTTTCCAGGCTACTCCCTCTTTCCTTCTTACAGTGATTTTTTTTCCCTTCCTCCTTTCTCTTCTACTCTGCATGTCAATTCTTGGGGCGTGCCACCGCTAAGTACACATGCAGAGAATGGGGAAAGACAGGTTAGGGCAGGGTTTGTGGGGTATAAGAATCTGTTCCAGGCCTCTCTCTTTGGCTTCCAAATGACCATCTTCTCCCTGTATCTTCACATTTTCTTCCCTCTCTGCATGTCTGTGTCCAGACTTCTGCTTTTATATTGCATTAGGGCCCACTTTCATGACTTGATTGCCTCTGTAAAAACCTCACTTCAAATAAAGTCACATTCTGAGGCACTGGGATTTAGGACTTCAACATATAAATTTCAGGGGGACACAATTTAGTCCATAACCCTCAGTGAAAGTTCACAGCAGAGCTTTCTTTGCTGTAAAGGATTTTCTGTGTCATTGTGCTCAAGGGAAAATGGGAGGCAGAGCAATGGAGTCCTGCCTCTTGACCAGTGAGTCTAGATAATGCTGGCCATATTTGATTCTTTCTGTAGGACAGAAATGAGAAAAAACTGAAGCAGGGTGTGGAAGTCATGGAGAAAACTACCTCTAGGTACTGTATGAAGGGTTTTTTTATGAGTTCATGGAAAATACATATTAATATGAAAAAGGTATGCCTAGATTTCAAAACTTTTTTGCACCAAAATAAACTCATACTAACTTGTTATAACATGTCTGAACAGGATCTATTAATAGTTTGAGGCCCTAAGAAAGATACCAGTTTAAAAAGACCCTCTATCGCAGCAATAAGAATTCTGCTAAAATTGAAACAAGAATATGCATCAAATATATAGTAAAATGTGAGTGGAAGAATAGTGAAATTATTGATGTTTTATGAAAAGTTTATGGGGAGAGCACCCCAAAGAAATCAGTAGTTTACAAATGGATAACTTGTTTTAAGAAAGGGACAAGAAGATGTTGAAGATGAAGCCCACAGTGGCAGACTGTCCCCATCAATTTTCGAGGAAAACATTTATCTTGTTTGTGCACTAATTGAAGAGACTGATGACTAACAGTAGAAGCAATAGCCAACACCACAGACATCTCAACTGGTGCAGCTTATACATTTCTGACTGAAAACTTAAAGTTGAGCAAACTTTCCACTCAATGGGTGCCAGAACTGTTATGCTCAGATCATCTGCAGACAAGAGCAGAGCTTTCAATGAAAATTTTAAACAAATGGGGTCAAGATCCTAAAGCATTTTGGGGGAGAATTATAACAGGAGATAAAACATAGCTTTGCCAGTATGATCCTGAAGACAAAACATGATCAAAGCAATGGCAACCAAGTGGTGGGAGTGGTCCAGTCAAAGCAATATTGGACCAGTCAGGAGCAAAGGTCATGATTATTTGGGATGCTCAAAGCGTTTTGCTAGTTGACTTCCTGGAGGGCCAGAGAACTGTTAACATCTGCTTATTATGACAGTATTTTGAGAAGTTAGCCAAAGCTTTAGCAGAAAAATGCCTGGGAAGTCTTCACCAGAGAGTCCTTCTCCACCAGGACAATGCTCCTGCTCATTCCTCTCTACTAACAAGGGCAATTTTGTGAGAGTATCAGTGGGAAATCATTAGGCAACTACCTTACTGTCCTGATTTGGCTCCTTCTGACTTCTTTTTGTTTCTTAATCTTAAAAAGTCTTTAAAGGACACCCATTTTTCTTCAGTTACTAATGTTAAAAAATTGCATCAGCATGGTTAAATTCCCAAGGTTCTCAGTTCTTTAGGGATGGACTAAATGTCTAATAATATCACTTACAAAATTATCTTGAACTTATTGGAGTTTATGTTGAGAAATAAAGTTTATATTTTTTAGTTTTATCATTAAATTCCACTTTCAATGAAATTTTTGAAGTCCCCTCATATTTTGACTTAAAAAAATCTGCCTTGATTTGGGGGTATGTAGATAATCTAATGTTTTTCTTCCTTCGAGATTATGTATAATGCTAAAACCACACAGTCTGACTCCTTGGATAGTACTGAAAAACGAGAAGTGAACATGCCCTGTTCCCACTGCACCACTGGAAGAAATGAAAATACAATCTGGAATGGACAGTTTGATAACCATGGCCCACAGTATCTGACTTGAGATTTAAAGAACAATGTGACCAATTAAATGTCTTCATTGCCCATCCCTGTACGCTGGTTTCACACCAGATTACCCTGAAAAACAGTGCCATGCATTACTGCATTGAGAGACATGCAAGTGGGGCACATTGGGCCACAGTGTCTTGCTGGTGGAGAGGGGAGATAACTTTCATTTAAAGAGGTCATTGCATGAGATACTGTGATATTAATGGAAGAAGATGGAAAGTGAAACAAGAAGAAGGAAAGGAGAAAAAATAAGGAAAATGCATGTGAAATCAAGATCTGGGGCAGGAAATAAAAAACAGGGAGTAGGAAGAGCCCGGATATTATCCTTTTTCCAATCTAACATTTTCATTCTTGCTATAAAGGTGTAGTGTAAAGTTCATAAATTGAGCATTATTCCTCTGAGAAATGTCTGGGTTCTCTCAAGTTTTTCAACTACAATGCATGCATTTGAGAAATAAATGGACCTTGAAAATTTGCTAGAAAGAAACAGTTATATTAATATTTCTTATTTCAACTTGTTTCTATATACCTGTTAAGTGCTCAGTTTTATCATTAATCAAGTTATAAATTAATATTTAATTGTTATTAATATTTAATTGTTTACATATTTAAGAAATATAGAATAAAAAGCAATACTCCACTTATTTGCCACTGACAAAATTCTCAGTCACTATTAAAGGTTTGGTGAACACATGTCCACTGTTTCTATATATTTAGATACAAACCCATAATAAACTTACTTTTTAAAAACAAAACTGGAATCACACTATATGCAAAATACTGTGATTTGATTGAATAAATCAGAGAAATCCTTGCCAGTCAAAAAATTTAACCTGCCTTATTCTTTTTCATGATAGTGCAGTATATAGTCTGATATATTGACTATTCGTGTTGAAAAGATATTTAAAGTTTTTTCACTACTGCATACAATATACAGTTTTATGCATATGTTTATACGAGTATTTCTTAAGAAAAAATTCCCGGCCAAATAGAATTTCTGCATCCAATGATATGTAAATAACTCCTGTGATCTTTATTAGTTTATGGTTCAGCTATCAAGATATGAGATTGCTTATTTCCTGACATCACAAACAACTGAATGTTAATATTATGGTTCTTAACTCTTTTTGCAATCTGGTAAGTGATAAATGGTAGAAAAAGGATTTTCACATAAATGTGAGTTAAGAGAAACTAGTCCTTAAGGGCTAAGTGGTTATAGAAATCTGGAGAAAGTGGTTGTCACTGTATGGTAAGAACTTACAGTTATTCTTTTCTAGTATAAGCATTTAAGAATATAAATTTCTTTCTAGGCACTGATTTGGTTGTATTCTACAAATTTGATATTTAAACATTTTTTGTTTATTGAGGAGAAGGAGAAGGAGGTGGAGGTGGAGGAGGCAGAGGCAGATAGAGAAGCATTTCTCTAGCAGTGCTGTGCTTGGTCTTGAGATGGCAGTGTTTTCATTTCCACCTCCCACACTTTGCACATCTCTGTGTGTGTGTTTATGTGTGCTCACCTTATTTCTGATTGGCTGGGCTGACTCTGTGTTTCCTGTAGAAATGTTTGAACATCTGAGAGACCAAAGTAGATCCTTTATCTTGTGAGGCATTGTCAACATTTCAGACACAAGAATTCAGTTCTCAGCGAGTCGGAGTGACAGAAGGAATGGAGAAACCCCTGGGCCTGCTTGTCCTTTGGCTGCAACTGGACTGTGAGTTAGAGGGATCTGGCAGTGGGCAAAAGTCAGGAGATTTCAGGACATTTCTCCTAGGGAAGAGAGAGAAAGTTAGGGAGTTATGCCTGTATGGTTTCCTGGAAGTTTATGTGGAACTTGGAAAAATAAATTTAAAAGTAATTTCTAAAGAATCATTAGCCACTAACCAGTCTGTTGTTTTCTTTTTGAACAGGGGTGAGCAGTAAACAGGAGGTGATGCAGACTCCTGAAACCCTGAGTGTCCCAGAAGGAGAAAGCTTGGCTCTCAACTGCAGTTTCACTGACAGTGCTATTTACTTCCTTCAGTGGTTTAGGCAGGACTCTGGAAAAGGTTTGACATCTCTGTTGTTAATTCAGTCAAATCAGAGAGAGCAAACGAGTGGAAGATTTAAAGCCTCATTGGATAAATCATCAAGACAAAGTACTTTAAACATTGCAGCTTCTCAGCCTGGCGACTCAGCCACTTACCTGTGTGCTGTGAAGCACAATGCATGACAGCCACCTACGACCAATACCCAAACTATACTGCCAGGATCCAACCACATGTCCTTTTCTAAATTGGCACCCTCTCCAGATAGAAGCAATTAAATATGCAAAACTTGATGTCATGACTTGAAGTTAAATTGTGAATTCTTTTATCTTCAAACTTTATCAACTTTAAATAACAGTTTTATTGAGATTAATTTACATGCCATATAGTTCGCCTTTTTAAAGTGAACAATTTTCTTTTATTTTAGTGTATTATGGGGGTACAAGTGTTAAGGTTACTTATATTGCCCATGTCCCCCTTCCCCCTCGAGTAAGAGCTTTAAGCATGTCCATCCCCCAAACGTTGCACACCTTAGTTGTTGTGGTTGTATATACCCCTCCCCTTCTACCTCCTCCCACCCTCCCGACACCCGATAAATGTTACTCCTATATGTCCACTTAGGTGTTGATTAATACCAATTTGTTGGCGAGTACATGTGGTGCTTGTTTTTTCATTCTTGAGATACTTCACTTAGTAGAATGGGTTCCAGCTGTATCCAGGAATATACAAGAGGTGCTGTATCACCATTGTTTCTTAAAGCTGAGTAGTATTCCATGGTATACATATACCACATTTTATTAATCTACTCATGAATTGATAGGCACTTGGGTTGTTTCCATAGCTTCACAATTGTGAATTGTGCTGCTACAAACATTCGAGTGCAGGTGTCTTTTTCATAAAGTGACTTTTGATCTTTTGGGTAGATGCCCAGTAGTGGAATTGCTGGATCAAATGATAGATCTACTCGTATTGCTTTGAAGTATCCCCATATTGCTTTCCACAGAGGTTGAACTAGTTCACAGTCCCACCAGCAGTGTAGGAGTATTCCTCTCTCTCTCTGCATCCATGCCAGCATTTATTGTTTGGGAACTTTTTGATAAAGGCCATTCTCACTGGAGTTAAATGATATCTCATTGTGGTTTTGATTTGTATTTCCCTGATGATTAGAGATATTGAACATTTTTTCATATGTTTGTTGGCCATTATTCTGTCTTCTTTTAAGAAGTTTCTGTTCATGTCCTTTGCCCATTTTTGATAGGGTTGTTTGATTTTTTCTTGTTGATTTTCCTGAGTTCTAAATAGATTCTAGTTATCAGCCCTTCATCAGATGTGTAGCTTGCAAAATTTTCTCCCATTCTGTGGATTGTCTGTTTGCTCTCTTGACAGTTTCTTTGGCTGTGCAGAAGCTTTTTAATTTAATTAGGTCCCATTTGTTTATTTTTGTTGCTGTTGTGATTGCCTTTGGGGTCTTCTTCATAAATTCTTTGCCTAGGCCAATGTCTAGAAGAGTATTTCCAATGTTTTCCTCTAGAATTCTAATAGTTTCACACCTAAGGTTCAAGTCTGTTACCCAGCGTGAGTTGATTTTTGTGAGAGGTGAGAGATGTGGGTCTTGTTTCAGCCTTCTACATGTGGCTATCCAGTTTTCCCAGCACCATTTATTGAATAAGGGTTCTTTTCCTCAGTGTATGTTTTTGTCTGCTTTGTCGAAGATTAGTTGGCTATATGAGGATGGTTTTATATCTGGGTTCTCTGTTCTGTTCCACTGGTCAATGTCCCTGTTCTTGTGCCAGTAAAAAGCTGTTTTAATGACTATAGCCTTGTAGTATAGTTTGAAGTCTGGTAAATTGATACCTCCTATTTTGTTTTTATTGCCTAGGATTGATTTTGCTATATGGGGTCTTCTTTGGTTCCATAGGAAGCGTAAAATTATTTTTTCTATATCTGTGAAAAATGATGATGGTATTTTGATAGGGATTGTGTTGAGTCTGTAGGTTACTTTGGGTAGTATAGACATTTTAACAGTGTTGATTCTGCCGCCCCATGAGCATGGTATATTCTTCCATCTGTTTATGTCCTCTGCTATTTCCTTCTTCAGTGTTTCATAGTTCTCCGTGTAGAGGTCTTTTACCTCCTTAGTTAAATATATTCCAAGGTACTCTATTTTTTTTTTGTTGCTATTTTGAAGGGAATTGAGTCTTTGATTTGGTTCTCAGTAAAGTGAACAATTAAGTGGCATTTAGTGCATTCACAATGTTGTGTAAATACCACTTCCATCTAGTTTCAAAAACTTTTCAACATTCCAAAGGAAACCACATACTCATGAAGCAGTTATTCACCTTCCCTCTCTCCTCTCTAGCTCCTGGCAACCACCAACCTGCTTTCTAGCTCCATGGACTTACCTATTTTGTACATTTTATATAAATGGAATCATATAACATGTAGCCTTGGTATATGGCTTCTTTCACTTAGCATAAGTTTTGGAGGTTTATTCAACTCAGGACGAACTAGAGAAAGCCAAACACCTCTAATCCATCACATTGGATGCCTCACTTCTGGTTAGCCTGCCTATATCTTCCCCATGCAATGGCCTCCATCTGGGGTGCACTTGAAGCCTTGTTCCTTCCCTCCCCCCACATAAAGTCTCACCGCTCTCTGGCCTATCTTTGAGTCTCTGCCAAAACACAAGTGATGGTAGCTGACTCTTTTGGTATAGCAAACTCTACTTTGCTTTTCTCATTTGGTCTTCACTTATTTCACATATCCCTTCTAGAGACACTTAATTTTTCTTGCCTGCCAAGTTATAACTTTGCCATATAAGTCTCACTTTGCATATGCAAAAGCAATGAATTACCACAAAGAATATTAAAGCTTGGGGCTTCCATTCAAATAGGTAATTGATATGTAGGTAAATAAGACAGTATTATCTAGATAAGTCAGAAAGAAACATTGATGCAAAACAGTTCTCAATATTTATATCCCCAGCTGTATCATCAGTACAACCTGGAAACTTCAACAGACACCTTGGCCTTCCTGGGGGATTTTCTTATGCAGAATTGCTTGTTCCTATCTTTTACTAAACATATGGGCTCTATATTGTGTGATGAGGAGAATGACATACCATTCACAACATCTGCCATGCCTGGATTTCAAAGTTGGTTTCTTTCTTGTCCTTCCAAACTAAGTTGTGGATAAATCATACATATGTGAGATAGAAAGGAGCTCTAGGAGTGGTAGTTTACTAGTTACTATGTTCCATGCTCTAAATGAACTTCTATTGTTAATATAAATTAATTAACTGTGTGATAAAAAAGAGGAGAATATTCATTCTTGAAAGAAGTTACTTTCCCCTACATATACATGTTCACATTATCATACATTTGGTATATTTTTCAAAAAATAAGACATTTTAACCACAATCAGTTAAGACCCTTGCTTTTCCACTCCAACTTCCCTTTTATTACAATTCTACTTTTGTCATGTGGTGATAAATTGGCCACAAGCTTATTTGAGATCTGGCTATGGTCAATTTAAATTAGGGATTCATTTAATTGGGATTTCATTAGATTTATTTGTGACTCACAGTCATTTTATTATATATTTAGGTGTTTGCTAGCAAGATTTCACAAGCTTCAAACAAAATTTTTTTGACACTTACTAATGATTTCACATTACACTATTTTGCCTTTCCTTTGCTAGTGTAGCTTAAATGACTGAGGATCTCGGCCTAGGTTATTTTCAGGAAGTTGACATGTTCTGTGAAGGCAAACAACACAAAGAAAGTAGAATCCTGGGAAGTATTTAGTTCCCATGGATGTCTTTTATTTCTTTTATTTATTTACTTAGCCATTTGCAAAGAAAATATGCCTGTATCCTGACTTTAGAGGAAATTAGGCTATAGGAGTTACAACAAGCTGGAGGAAGTGACTTGCTCCCATGTCATTTGAGATAGTGATGGGCTGAGATGACTTGAGATTGGCCATGTTGGTTGCTATACGGCAAATCAGGTATTTGCTTTAAATTATTAATCTCATCTCTCAAACAATCAGAAAACCCAGGATGAGTGTTTATTTCAAACTGCATTATGTACAGATGATTTTACCCAGTCTCCTAACTTCAGTGAAAGAAACATCTCTAAAGGACTTCAGCTCACTCACTAAAGTATTTGAAGTTGGGAGGCTTAATTAAAACTGGCATTTGAGGATGTGTACAAAGCAATCTTTCCAAAGATACTATAAGTAGGAATTTTAAAAAGACCTTTATCTAGTGGTCCCCATCAAAAGACATTCTAAATTCAACACGATGTCACCCCAGAGTTCTGTGTGGAATCTCAGCATTGCTTGTATTATCAGGGACCGGTCCTTTCTTTATCAGACCCACTCAGATTACCTCTCTCTTTTTTTCCTCCCTTCTAATTCAATTTCTCTAATACTTGCTGAATGCCTAATAGCAATTAGTGATTCCTTAATCATCTTTACTTATTCTCCTACATTATTCCTCACAGTGCCAATAGTAAACATTTGCAACACTCAAGAGCAACTCATCTAATGTTCAGTGTCTGCAGACAACTTCAATTTCTACTTTAGTGAAAATATAAGGATCTTCATTTTTCCATCTCTTTTTCCCTCCAAATCCATCTACAGAGGATGATTAATATTTATAGTCTGGAGCAAAAGCAAAAATTATTTTCATATACGTTTTTAAAAGCAGTTCTTTTTCTTTTAAACTATTTAAAATAACCTATTAAAGCTAAAAAGCAAAATACAAATAATAAACAATCAACAGTTTTAATAAAATATATTTACATAAAATCAAAAATTTATTTAAGTTTTTTAAGTGTAATTAAATGATAGATTTTTAATAAAAATAAAACTATTCACTATTCTAGTCTCGATGTCTATTATAGTTGCTAAAGTATATAATCAGTATCTCTTTGTATGCAGGTTCAATCTGGAATAAATATACACAGTTTAAAAGTAATATTGTTTAATATTACAAAGTGTTCCAGCCATTATGAACAATTGTGGTGAATACTATGCTGATTCAGAAGTACCCTGCACAACCTCAGATGAGTACATAAGAGAAAGAAAGCAAATAGATCCTTAGCAATCTATTTTGCTTGGGAAACAATATTTTATTATATAAGAATCTATTGCATCCATGCCAT